TGCCTGCTTAATTGAATTGTAATTTTATCAGTGGTAAACTAAGAGTTTATCTTTAAGGTACTTTACAGAACTTTACTCAGTTCCTAATACAGTCTTGAACTTTGTAAAAATTAATAATACCCTTAAAAAATTGAGTTTGGTTTTTAAAAACTGTTCTAAGTGGTAGATAGAAGAATAGTCCCTGCATGTAAAATTTACGCTCCAGATTAATTTCAGTTAATATTTAAGGGGCTAATAATTCTCTGTCCTTAATTGAATATAAAACTGAAAGCCTGCTTAGTCCATTTTGTAGACTGGCATTACCAAATCCAGGGAGTTGAAAAATGTCAATAATAAGTTAAAAAAAAAATCATTCTTAAAAGATGGTTGTATTAATTGGCAACAAAACAGATCTTAATAAATGTATTCAGAATAAAGTGAAAAATAAGCATTCAGTATAGTAAATCTCTGAAAGTTAGAACTTGACAATACTGCTTTTGTTTTTCTGGATCTTGCACATTTTCTGCCTTTGACGGAGTGCAGTCTTAACCACCGTTCTGTTCTCTATTAGTGAAAGAGATTGGAATTTTCTTTGTCCAGCATGTTTGCACCTTAACACAAGTCTGACTTTCGTAGGTTTTTCCAGGTTTTCTAAGCATTTACATCTCTCAGGTATGAACACAAATAGTATTTTTATATTTGATATAAGTTTCTCCTTTGCGTGGTACTTTTTTTAAAATCAGCATTTTGTATATTTGGCAACTTCTCATTTTCCAGCCTGGTAAAACCATTAAAATCCTTGTTTATTTAAAAACATTAAAGTCATTTAAAAAAAAATGATGTGGCCATGTAGGATTAGATAGAAGGCACAAAACTAGTATGATTATATTCTATTCTAAAAGTCCTAATGAAGAGTTAGAGTCAGGATTTAAAAATGTACAGCAAACGTAATTATGTGTATATTTTTAAACTTGCACATTTTCATGTCCTGGTCATTAGCTCTTATATTTAACATTTTCATTTAAATAATATTGTTACCCAGCCACAGACGTTCTAGTGTCTCTTTCTTCCTGTGGAGCCTGTGTATTTACTGGACAGTGTTGTGACTGAAGCTGTAACTCAGGATTCTGTTCTCTGTATCATTTATTTGCGCTTTTTTTTTTAGCAAGAATAGAATATACATATCTGTGACACCACCCTTTCCCTCTCCACACAGGAGGGTAAGGGTGGAGAATCAGTGGTGCATACATTACCTGTTTTTCCTAAGTTGAAGAGATGCTAGCTTTCATAACGTCTTTGATTAATTCTGTGACCAGCAAACAAATAACTGCTGATATCAGTTGTAATGATTATATCTGTTTCAATATATTCCAGTTTTTTCCACAAACCCCTACTAATTTCTAATCTGAAATTTGTTTTAAATCTTCAAATTTTTTAAAAAAATAACAAGATTATAGCCCTATTTTAAAATTGTATCTTTAGCTTGATTTTATTCCATTTCATCCATTTAAAACACAAACAAACGACTAAGGTAAAGCTCATAATTTCAGACTCCTTGAACCTGGCTGTCCCAGTAAATTACCATTACCCATGAAACAAACTTTAAAGAAGTTGTGTTTTACAATGCAGAGAGTGGAGGATGCTTTTTATACATTGGTGAGAGAGATCCGACAATACAGATTGAAAAAAATCAGCAAAGAAGAAAAGACTCCTGGCTGTGTGAAAATTAAAAAATGCATTGTAATGTAATCTGGTAAGTTCGTAAATAAATTGGGCATTGTGGCAGAAAACAGATGTTTCAAAGGTAACAAAGTAGCAACCTTTCCAAATTACTTAGATGTGGTATTCTAATTTGAAGTATTAAAAGATAAAAAAAATCCTGTAGCTTGTTTTTCTGTAATCATTTATTTTTAATCTATTGGGTGTTAATTATAATTGAGATAATTTTGATGGCTGTAATAAACTAGTTTACATTATTTACAGGCTCTAATGATTTAATTAGTCATAAGCAAACTAAAGATTTGTGAACTGATATTATCTTTAGTTTTAAAGGAAATTAGACTCAATTTTGAGATCCCTACAGCTTTTGGTGTTGTTAAAGTGAATAATAAAAAATGGTGTAATTATAATGTGAATAACCCAAGAACATGAAGAAAGACCACACAATTTATTTTTCCTTTTGAATGTTCCAGAGGCAAATAGCTGTTCTTTTATTCTCTAACTTAATGGCATTGACATCCCTATTTTTATTCATTTGAAAAGCCGGGGAGTGTTAAGATGTCTCTTCATTCCTCTTTCTCATGCCTATTCTGTTGATACATACTGTTTCTTAATTTCGTCACTGTTCAGATTCCTCCATTTCTTACTGGGACTCTTACTGTCTCTTGTTTGGTTTGCTTATTGCTGCCATCATTCATTAAACAGACATCTACAAAAGAAATACTGATTTTCTATTTTTTAACTTAGTGACTACATGTTACCTGTGGTATATATAATATCAAAGTCCCTGGAGTATCATACAGCCTTCCTACTTTATTTTGACCTTATGTCTAAAAACTATTTCTTTTTGTCTCAATTTTTTTCCCCCTAAAATGGTTATTTCATACTTTTCCTTCCTCATTTGATTGTTCTTGTATGGAATGTCATTTTTCTTCTAAAAACACAAACTTAACTGCTGTTGATTCAGAACAAACTTAACAGTGACTCTCAGTTGGTTTTGTAAGGCTGCAAATCTTAATGGGAGGAGATTGACCATCTTTCTCAAGGTGATTTGCTGGTGGATTTGAACCACTAGAGTTGGGTAGCCATTTTGTTAGCAGTATAACACTCTATGGACGATGATGTCAGAGCTGCTAATGTTCTTATACTCTAGCCCTATCAACTAGCTAGTACCTAAACTTAAATAATACCTTTCATAATACCTGTCTTATATGGTCCTTCTTTGTGTCACTTGCCCCAACCCAATACTGTTTTAACTTGTACTATGCTATATTTCAGTAATCTCTTTTATGTTTCGTTTTCTGTATTAAACAGTAAGATCTGAGTGAGCAGAGATCACAGATTTTGAATCTTTTTATCCCAACTGCCTATATCAAAGCTCTTGGCACTTAGTAGTTGCCCTGTAAAAGTTTATTGAGTAGGGGAATCTCAACTACCTTTCATAATCAACCCATGTTAAATTTTGCCTTGTTCAGATAATATTTAATTAAGCAGATAACAAAATTTATGCAAATTAGAATTTCAGACTTTTAGTATATATTGTACTTATTAAGCATAAAAGTTGGTAATTTTTATTAATACAAATTTTAAGTATATCATGATGTATTTCTGAGTAATGTGAAATACAGCTCTGAATAATAGACTTAGTCCCAAAAGATACTACTATTTTGTAAGTATGCTGATGTACTAAACACAAAAGAAGAAACAAGTGTGGCTGTTTTAAATTTTAGTTTATACAGGCTCTTTGACTTATGTACTATGCATATGAAAAAGTTGGACATGATAACCTGAATGCTAGTGTTTTCAGTGTAGTCAGCATTTACATAAAGCAAAAGGTACTTGTTAAAATTACACAATTTTCATTTCAGTAAAAAATTGCAATAATAAATAAATGCAAATTAATTTTTCTTGGTCCATAAAAACAAATGGGTTTAGGTAAAATAACTTCTGCAATGTTACTTTTGTCTTTTACACATATATATGAAAATGATAAGATCTGATGTAACAAGAAAGAATTAATTGCACTATTTAGGCCCATTGTTCCACTTTCCTCATTATTAAAGTTATTCCAATTTTAGATGGTGATACAGAAAGTAATTTCAGTGTAGTATGAGTCAAGAGTATCTCAGAATTGTAGAAGATGGTATTTTTATAAAATTCATAGTGTCATTGCTTGTTAAATACTTCTATATGATGATTGTCTGAGAATGTGCCTTCTCCATAGACATTTCATGGTTTTTCATTTTATCAACTTCACTTAGGTACCATTGATCATTTTTTTTTTGTTATAAAAGGAATTGCTATTGAGAATGTATATGAGGATATATGATGAAAGGAAGTTCATGAGGGTAGGGACATTCGATACTTTGTGAAGATTCCATTCTAAAGATTTATTTAAACTAGTTAAGTATTGCTAGATCAAAGAATATTATTATATCATTGCAAGTTTTTCTTACAGCTAAGGTTAGCATGAAGGTGTTTTAAGGCTGTCAGTGGTAGAACCTTGATTCTGTTACTGCTATATTGTTTCTTATCATTTAACCATTACTAGAGATAAGGAAAAACCTTTAAGTTTATATTAGTAATTCTTTCAGAGTGCAGTTAGGAAACTGTTACTCATTAGCTTTCAGATCAGTAATACAGGTTTTTTACTCTACAACTGTTTGCTTAAATGAAGACAGGTTTCTCACTTGAACTATGTTTCTCCTTATTTCATACTTTTTTGAATTTTAGATATAATGAATATTAGCTAAATATTATTTGGGAAAAATGCATTGAATGAATATTGTTAATATCTTTAAATATTCTGAATGATCTTAATATAATAACCATCCAGATTACTGTTAATTTTTAAATTATTTCCAAGATAGTATAACTTAATGTAGTTAGCATGGATAGTCAACAGAGGTAATTATAATTTAGTACTACCCCATTTTTCATTGTTATTAAATCAGCTTGATTTATAGTTGAATACTGTTAATACGCCCTCTAGTGTCGAGATTTGGAAGCATTAGTTGAACAGGTTTTTTTATTCTACAGTTAATATTCAGTTGAAGAGATTAAAATTAAAGTTTGTTAATTATTTTATAGTTAGTATTCTGATGTGGAATAAATTTTAACCATAATTGATTCAAGAATTCCTAAGTCTGTTTACACAGTTACATAGTCAATTTCTCCAAAGAGAAATGTGAAGTTTCCTTAAATTTTTTCAATTCTGTTATTAAATTTTATTTTTTGGTCACATGTTTCCTCAAACCATTGTACAGCGGTAGCTTATAGTTTAATGTTTTTATATATTTCAGGGTGTTGATGATGCCTTCTATACATTAGTTCGAGAAATTCGAAAACATAAAGAAAAGATGAGCAAAGATGGTAAAAAGAAGAAAAAGAAGTCAAAGACAAAGCGTGTAATTATGTAAATACAATTTGTACTTTTTTCTTAAGGCATACTTAAGTAAAAGTGGTAATTTTTGTATATTACACTAAATTATTAGCATTTGTTTTTAGCATTACCCATTTTTTTTTCTCCATGCAAACTGTTAGCTTTCATCTTGAATGCTTATTTTAAAATGACAGTGGAAACTTTTTTTCTCTCTAAGTGCCAGTATTCCCGGAGTTTTTGGTTTTTGAACTAGCAATGCCTGTGAAAAAGAAACTGAATACCCGAGATTTCTGTCTTGGGGATTTTGGTGCATGCGGTCAATACTTCTATTTCTCTTACCACTTGTGAACTTCAGTGTGAAATGAATTAATGAAGCTTTCAAATCATCCCTATTCTTTGCTTTTACTAGTCATATAAGTGGATTAATTACCAGTTCTATCTTCAATTGAAATGTCATTATTTGTTTTACTGAGACACTGAGAAAACAAACTTTGATGGGCTTCCTGTAGATTTCAGTCAGGCATCGTGTCCTATAGTTTCAGATTAATCTCAATGAATGTAATGTTACATTGTTCACAAAGATTCTCCTTCCTCCTTTCCACTGCTATTTGTCATAGTCACAACGCCAAAATACTATATTTTTTCTATAAAAGAGGGTAAAAAAAAAAAAAAGAAAAAATACAAGGCCATGGAAAATACTAAGGTCATATACTTTCCACATTAGATAAATTCTTTAAGAGCCCTTATAGCTTTTCCTGTGAAGGCAGACCCAGTGTGTAATGGGAATTATAGCAACCACTTTGGAGCTATATTTACATGCTACTAAATTTTTGTAATAATTGAAATAAATTGTAACATATTAAAAATACTCATAGGAATTAAATAGAGTCTTCCTGCGTCACACTACTCTTTCTTAGCATAATGGTAAATCTTTTCTTACCCTTCTGTCTTTGAATATTAAAAATTTTAATTCTGGTAATGATGTCAAAGATCATTTGAGCCAGTTAGCTTGGTAAGTGTTTTTTAAGAGGCAAAGGTTGCAAGTTCAGACCTTATGCTGAGTTTTGCACTTCATTGAGGTTTTTCCAACCATGGTGCAATCCCAGTGGTCATACAGTGTGTTATGTGTGGATTGGTAGGACATGAGAACTGGGAGAGTTTGGATAGCTCAGCAAGATGAATACTACGTCATGGATTTATTGACAGATCTGGAGTATTATTGTTTAACAGCTGAGCTTTTTAATGATTATTTTAAAATGTTAAAAGAGTTGAGATTGGGAGAAGGCCGAAACTTCAGGACAAAAGGTTTCAAAATCCCTACTTCTTTTAACACTGACTAAAGTAACATTTCATAATACTTTATATGTCTGGTTCATGTTAAAGATGTGTAATGCTTTAAAGATTATATAAACTAACATTAAGAAATGATTTTTTAATATATTTAAAGTGTTACTTAATTTAAAATATTTTAGGTGATATGGTAAAAGAAAAATATCACTGGATTAGAAGTAAAAAAAGAGACCAAAATTCTAGTTATGCATCTTTTAAAATTCTGATTTTGAGTATATCACTTTCCATTTTTCATGTTAAAGGAAATCATCTCAAAGGCTGTATCTAGTGATATAATTTTGTAAAGATTTACATTAATTTAACTTAAGACTATCTATATGGTACAACCTGTAATGTTTCTCCTGTACTGTCATATTCAGTGCTGGTCTTTAGGCAAAATTGTGCAAGAGGTAAAATTTCTTTTTGAATGTCCATTCGAAGGAAGACCCTCAATGAGATATATTGACACAGTGACTGCCACACTGGACTTGAGCATGGCAGGATTGTGAAGATAACACAGGATAGGGCAAGGTTCTGCTCTCTTATTCATAGTGTTGCTATGACTTGTAGTCAACTCCAAAATACCTAAAAACAACAGTAACATTTTCAAGAGTCATAATATTCTCTTTTATTTTTACTAACCCTCCATATGCTCCAATGACTTGGTAACTTTGAAAAAAAAATCTTTTTTAGCTTGACATCCCCTGATTTCAAGATGCTATGGATATGCCCAGGAAATCATATCACATGGCCCTACATTTTGTTTCCTTGGCATCCCAGATGGTCTTAAAGATACCACAATGTGACTGTTTTCAGGTGGTGACTACAACAGTTTAATTTTGATCTTTTAAACATCATCTCTTTGCTGCCTAGTACATTAGAAA